AACGCAATATTGAAATGTCACAAGTGTTACACATCAAAACACCTACTTATTATGCTGCATACTACGGACACATATTATACATGAAAATAAAGTGACACTGGATTGTTCAGGTTGAGGAATAATATTAATATCAGAGTACTGCTAAACAATTTAATTTTAATTGGGTTCTCCTTGCAATAACGGTCGCTACTTGGACGGCTACGGCCGCTTAGTCGGAGTTCAGTCCCCTGGCTGCAGTGCAATTACGGAGTGGACAAGGCACGAATCACAAAACACAGTGAGTTCAACATGGCGTCTAGACCATGCGCTGCGACCCACATAAGCCTACCCCTAGCCCTAATCATGTCATTTGTGTAGTTCCCTCTTTTCCACTCCATAATTGCACTGCAGCCAGGGGACTGAACTCCGACTAAGCGGCCGTCGCCGTCCAACTAGTGACCATTATTGCAAGGGGAGCCTTTAATTGTGTTAGTTAGTAGTTAATTATTAGTAAAAAAACAGATAGTATGTTTAGAAGAGAAATTAGTTAAAAAAGAAATGATAATTTTTTCACTTAGTACCTAAGTACCTACCACTATGGCACTCTGTTTCTCACCAGCTCTCCCGCCTTGTGCACTTTAATATCCAGGGAGTCACTTATAACATGTATAATATACAATATATGTGCCTATGTTCGAGCTATCCTCTAAACAACGGTCCCAAATTTTCGATGCCAAAAATATACACTAAGAGGGCTTCAGTGACGTAAATTTTGGACCTCTTCCTGCGACTACACAGCATACAGCGGAAAAGCTTCCGCTGCGTTAAAGTCACTGCTATGCGCCGCGTGGAGTGGGGCTAAACTAGATAGCTGGGACTCAACGAGCAGCAGCTACCGCATCTCCTGCAGCTTCCTTCATTTTATTTGCTTGTGAGTCCCAGTCATCTAGTTTAACCCCTTTACGCGTTGCGTGGGGGATACTCTCGGTGGTGGCAGTGAGTCCCGGCCATTTAGTTTAGCCCTATTCCGCCCCGCGCGTAGAGGCATGGGAGATACTCTAAGCGGTATGCAGTGTAGTCGCCGGGGTAGGTCTGCAATTTATATATGAATGAGACCCTGTTAGGGTATATTTTTCGGCCGTTATTCAGAGGATAGCCCATCTTCGTGTTAGTCAGACCCTGCCCCTCCATCCAAGTACCACAGGTGCTGTTTTTTCCCCCCCACTTCACCACGGTGCTTTGATCCAACATATTTCAGCTTCTGAGACAAGATGCTGTTTGTTAGCCAGTCACCTTGTTGTTCAGATCTTTCAGAATGTCAGTCCACAGGCAGGGCTAACCTGGTCAACAAATGTCTCCAGAAATTAGATGTTGACCGAAAAGTGCAAATGTTGCGGCCGTGCTGTAAAAGAGCTCAGCCTCCTTATAATTATCTGGGGGGCGGGGTTCAGGGGCTCTACACCTTATTTAAGTGCATAATAGTAATAATAATAATCTGGTGAGTAATATATTTCAAATAATGAAATAATGTATAAACAAACATTTAAAAGATACACACACACAGTTATCGGAGAGGAGGAGAGCTGAGCTATACCCCCCACTCTAAAATGGAGGAAAAAGGGGGGTGGGGGTATTCAGGGTGGCCGAGTACCCAGATTCTCATTCCCCTGGACTCTGGAATTAGAAGCTGTCTGTTTTCCACCTCCAGGCTGCGGCTTAATGCTTTGACCACCCATGCAACTTCAAGAGCCACATCCTCAATGGCAGTCCAGCAAGGCACATTCCAGATACCTTTTCAATGTCAGAGAAAGTTATAACCTCAGAGGGGCATAGAGATAAAGGCAGATTAAAACATTTGGAGAAGGGACCTAGAGAGTGAGGTTGAAAAGACATAGAATGAGCTGCATGCGATAGCAATTGAGAGGACGCCGTGTTGGTTGAGGGCCTATGCTCTACTGAGAGATGACATGGAATAAGCTGTATGTGATAGCAAGTGATAGGACATTGTTTTGGTTGAGGGCCTATGCTCTACTGAGAGATGACATGGATGGAATAAGCTGTATGTGATAGCAAGTGATAGGACATTGTGTTGGTTGAGGGCCTATGCTCTACTGAGAGATGACATGGAATAAGCTGTATGTGATAGCAAGTGATAGGACATTGTGTTGGTTGAGGGCCTATGCTCTACTGAGAGATAACATGGAATAAGCTGTATGTGATAGCAAGTGATAGGACACCACATTAGTTGAGAGCCTATGCTCCACTGAGAGATGACATGGAATAAGATGTATGTGAAAGCAAATGATAGAACACCATGTTGGTTGAGGGCCTATGCTCCACTGGGGGATGACATGGAATAAGCTGTATGTGATAGCAAGTGATAAGACACCGTGTTGGTTGAGGGCCTATGCTCCACTGTGGGATGACATGGAATAAGCTGTATGTGATAGCAAGTGATAAGACACTGTGTTGGTTGAGAACCTATGCTCCACTGAGAGATGACATGGAATAAGCTGTATGTGATAGCAAGTGATAAGACACTGTGTTGGTTGAGAACCTATGCTCCACTGAGAGATGACATGGAATAAGCTGTATGTGATAGCAAGTGATAAGACACCGTGTTGGTTGAGAACCTATGCTCCACTGAGAGATGACATGGAATAAGCTGTATGTGATAGCAAGTGATAAGACACCGTGTTGGTTGAGGGCCTGGGCTCCACTGAGAGATGACTTGGAATAAGCTGTATGTGATAGCAGGTGATAAGACACCGTGTTGGTTTAGGGCCTATGCTCCACTGGGGGATAAAGAGCATAAGTAGAAAATTGCAGCCGAAATTAAACTTGCCATTTGTCACAAGCAGTAAATGACATGTCGTCTTCCATGTTTATGGATGTTGTGTTATATCATTGACCTTTACTAAGGTTGTATTAAAGAATTTACTGGTTATTTTATGGTGCATCACAATTTACATTTTATACATGGTGTGTAAATATACAACGTAAAATGCCTGTCACACATCAACAAACAAGCTAAAGTAAACATTTTGAGATCATGGCTGGCAACATATGGACGTGAGTCATGTACTGTTTTCCATTCAAGAAAGACAGAATAAAATAAAATCATACAGTCACTAATAATGGGGCTCTAGGAAAACTATATACATTCTAGTGAATCAAGAGACTAGTGTTGGATAGGACACATGCTAAGAACAGTATAACTAGAATATCTTTACACTGGAATCAACATTGACATAGAAATGAAGTCAGCCAAACAACACATGGAGAAGAGAGCTTGTGGGTGAAGTTAAACGATGGTGAGGACGCAGAGTGAGCTGTATATGATAACAAATGATAGAATGACTTGGTTTGAGTTGCTATGATACAGGTGGCACCATGGAAGGGTGTGGGCGGGGTATAAGTAGCAAAATCAGAATATAATTTTAGCTTTTGATCTGACAGTTTGAATCTTCTGCTTCTTTCGTTCGCTTGAAATAGATTATCTATATCTGCAATGTTGTCTCTAATGAACTTCACTGTTGTTTGTAATTCACTCAGCGACCCATAAAGTTTGACTTGGCCCGATGTTTCTCTTGTCCAAAAGTTTTGCCTTGATATGTTGTATTTGGGACAGTCTTGGAGGACATGATCTGTTGTCTCAGATGCCAGTCTGAAAATTATCAAATTTGGGAAAGTATATCATAATATACACAGAAAAATATGATACATGGTTCCATTGATTATGATCTAGCCCCTATGTGCTACTGGCTTGAAAAGTGTTCTTTCGTCCCATTGTTTCTTAGGGTCTTGACTTTAGTCAGGAACAAACATCACAGCACTCGAGACATTTCCACACATGCTCAGACCTCATCTTCATCAACCAGTGTAGAGTTCCAGTTTTGATGGTCGTAGTAGTAATTTAAAAAAAAATGTCCTGTTCAACCCTCAGGGTTATTATTGGGATGTATAGTGTTAATTGAGATCTCAGAGTATTTATTTGTTATTTGTAATGTATGTATCGTGTAGTTATTTATATGACCAAACTTTAATTTGTATTGTATTACATTTATGCTTTGATTTGGGTTGAGATTATGATAAAAATTGTACTATGAATAATTATACACTTTTACTTACATTGCATCATTAACATGGTGGATATACAGTGGAACCTCGCTTAACGTGCGTAATTTGTTCCATTATCATACTCGTTAAGCGAAACACTCGTTATGCGAAACAATTTTACTCATAAAAAAATAATGTAAAATACGATAATGCGTTCCATGTTGAAAAAAATACCCGAAAAGTGCTATGTATGTATAACATTTATTCAAAGAAAATTATATACATATTGTTAAGAAGAGTGTTTTGTTTTGTAGAAATTCTTATTCTTGCTAAGTCCACAACACAATCATTTATATTGCATTTTAATCCACTAGAATATGCACTGTAATTCTATCCCATTCTCAGCAGGTTGCTATTGAATGTGAGGATCAACAATATTTTACTTAAACATAAAGTTAAAGTTAGTTGCATATTGTTTACAGGATGTTGCAGTACAGATCTGGCAAATGTTGGCTTTTTGTGGTTTTAATAAGGGCTATTTTCTAGAAAAAATATGCCGGTTCTCAGAGAGTCTAAAGAAAAATTGGGTGTACTCAAAGCGTTTTTAATAATTACAGTAACTGAAAAATTGTGTCTTTAAAAAAAAAGGTTTCGGTCCTGCGGTCCATTACTTGGTACCAGAAAGAAAGGGCCACTTTTTTACTAGTAATTTATTGCACTGCATCCTATGGTTTTTAACTCATATGGCTCGGTCTTCTCTGATCTCCAGCAGTGATCCTGTGGTCCGCATACAATTTGCAGTCATGAATAGAACGATGAAATCCATGAAAAGAACCCACAACCTTCAGAATGGGAGGCAACAGCTTAGTTAGTTGTGAAATGTTTATATAGTTCCTATTTTTAAATGTCTTGATTTTCACTGTTTTGATTTAAAGTTAAAGTATATTCATTCATAATCACAGGTTCCACTTTCAAGCACAAAAGCACGAAGCAGAAGTCCTAGTCCCAGTGCTGGAAGATCTCGGCATATAAATCAAAATCAGTTATTTAACAATACACAGGACCTCTTTGATCCTTTCCCCCAAACTGCTAGTGAAAGTTTGAATGACAGCAAAGCAGAAAGCTCCAGCACTGTAGGCTTCAGTGACTCACTGCCAGTTGATGCTATTGTCACTATAAGTAGAAACCACGCCAGTCACATCAAAGATTCACCTCAGCCTCTTCAGAGAAATTCTTCTCATAGAAGTAAGTTGTTTCTTCACTGATTTTAATTAACAACAGTGGCCAGTGGTTTATTTTATAAAATAGATATAATTATTTAACTAACATTAATGCTTCTTTTGCGAGCCAAACATGAATAAAGACATGTAGATCATTGTAAAATGTTATTTCTCTTCCTCTTCTTTCCTTCTCTCTCTCTCTCTCTTAGTCTTCTTTGTATCTGAGTGTTTGTGTGTGTGTTCTTTTACTCAGGTCTCTAAAGTTATAACTATGTGTGTGTATGTATTTATAAAAAAAAAATTTATATATATATATATATATATATAAGTAGCTCAATGGCTATACTGTCAGCCCGAAAGCCTAGAGTTCCTGTCCACATCATGGTAGAGTTTTCAAATAATTGACCTTTGCTCTCAGATTGACCCATCCTAAATGTCCAGGAAGGTAAAGGTGGTTGGTGGGATGATGACTACAATTTGAGACGAGCAGTGCATACCAAATGTACCTTTATGTATGCTTAACTCTTGAGTCCCAAGGAACGCATCATGCGTTCATAGATTCCTACCCAGAGGCCCAATGAACGCATGATGCGCCGATTTTACGTCTCTCTTGACTACCCCTTGGGCCTGTGATGCTAAACCCCCTGGGACTCAAAGAGTTAAGGCATGATTTTAAGTATTTTAAGTGCACAATAAACAGGAAATAATTTCTGTCCCGTTCACTCTTTATTTATTCATTTATCAACATTATTTTTTTAATCATCAATCTGTCCTGCATGAGCACTAGTAATCTTCTCTTCTTCTTCTTCTTCTTCTTTCCTCTATTCATAGAATAAGATCTCTGTGGAATATGTCTTTCTGTTTGCTTCGTAAATTGTACTTTTCAGTCTGATAGTTCTGTGGTCCATTTTCTGCATGGTCGGCTTCTGGCTCTGTTATTGTTGTATCTGTATAAAATTGCTCCCTGTGATGCCCTGTCCACATATTGGGACAGCTAGCCCCCCTCTTACAGCATAAGACAATCCCTATCAGCACAAAGAGACATCTTTTTCAAAGCATATTTATTCCAACTCTGTGCTGCCAGTGCCAGACATGTTATCCTTCCATCTTGTTCTTGGTCTACCCTGTGCTCTACGTCCTTCTTCTCTTTGTATGGTATGGTGTCACAAGGCATTCTCTCTAAGTGGGCAAACCATTTCACTTGCTGTCTTTGTAGGTAATCCAGAATTGGTTTTGTGCCGACTCTTATCTCTTTAGGTCACTCCTACAGCCCTTCTCAGACATCTCATTTCCGTGGTTGCCAGACATGGTCACTCACAACAAACCATAAAAGAAAATTAGTAACCATGGAAACGAGATGTCTGAGAAGGGCTGTGGGAGTGACCATAAGAGATAAGATCAGGAATGAGATCATAAGAGAAAAAGTCGGCACAGAACCAATTCTAAATTACATACGAAGACAGCAAGTGAAATGGTTTGCCCACTTAGAGAGAATGGCTTGTGACACCATACCATACAAAGCATACATGGAAAGAGAAGAAGGACGTAGAGCACGAGGTAGACCAAGAACAAGATGGAAGGATAACATCAGAGAAACTCTACAACAGCATGATGTGCCTATGATCGAGGCGGCCAGAAGATTTAGAGACAGAACCTTATATCTCCCTTGACACCAACAGCGGTAAAAGAGGAAGTGAAGAAGAAGAAGATGCCCTGTCTGTTGTCAGTCTTGTTACTTGGCCAAATAATGTGATCTATTTTCTACTGGTAAAGTCCAGTATTGGTTCCCAACTGACTCTCCTCTTGACGTCATTGTTCTTAATTCGATCTTTCCTTCTTACACCTATCATTGTGCGTGAACATTTTATTTTTCCCATGTCTATTTGCATCTGTCTTTTGAAAACAGTGTCCATATTTGAAATTGATAGCATAGCAGTGGTAAGAATATTGTGTTTACAGTGCTGTTTTAGTGTTTATGAGTTTTATGAAGCAACATATGCTTGCATTTCAAAATTGGTGTCATTTGGCCTATGTGTTAACTTTATTGCCTCTTTGCTGTTTGGTCTCTAGAAATACTGGTCTAGTACTATATTCCCAATGTATGTAAAGAACCTTTACATTTTATTACATAATGAAGATAGAGGCTAGACTCCTTGCTTAGGTGAAGACTTCTGCAAAGATATAGATTTGCAAATCTAGCAGGATTTTCTCTTTTTTCTTCTTTAGCATTCTGGGCTCATGAGGTTCATTGCTGCAGATCAATCATTAATCTTTAGTTTTCCGGGGTCGTTTGCTGTTTAAATCCATAGAATTTCAAGGGTTAGATATCTGTTAGATGATGAAATTGAGTTTTACAAAGAAGGATGTCGATTCCTCATTGTCAGAAAGTATAATCTCAATAAACAAACCAGCTGTTTCATAAAAATGATAGCCTTTCATTAATAATAATCCATAATAATAATAGCCTTTCATTAAGGTGACATAATCCAGCAAATTGCAATCTGGCAAAGCAGTGTTTAGGGTAATAGATATGATTGTAGCCCTAAGTAATCCATAAATCCATAGGACAGTGAACAATGATGCATAATTGCATTGAGTGTCATTGCGAGATTTGTGTGACCAAGCTGATGAGAATATGGTTTGTGGTTGAGGCTGTTTCTGCTTGCTGGTAAAAAAAACTTAGAGGAGCCATTTGCTGAATTGTTAAGAATGCTGGGCTCTCATGTGCAAGACCCAGGTTCCAATCTGCTGTAAAGGTTTTCCTGTAAGGGGCAAAACTAAAATCTGTATTGACTGCACTTGAACTAAATCCCTGACAGTGGAGAGGCAGAGCACCACTCTTCTGATCCTTCAGCTTTTACTGCTGGTTTTTCATAAATTTATTGGTGTTACTTTTCCTTTGGGGTCAACAAGGTAGGTCGAGCGAGGGATCATGATGCATGGGCAACACAACTTTGGTCTATGGGGAGGAGGAACTTAATCTCTGGCCTTAATTGGCTGACAAATCCGGTGCTGTAATTGTGGAAGACTTTTCTCACCACTGTCCGGTCTTGCTAGTCACACCCACCTCACCACAGGCTGTGATTCCTACGCCTTCCTACAACCCAATATAACACTGCTTTCTGGAAAGATGGAAAAGTGCCAGTAATTAATTAAAGATGGAAAGATGATTAGAGACTGGATGGTACAGAGGAAGTTATTTTACCTATATCAGGCATATACAGCTTAACTGAGCTATTTAACTAAGTTTACTCAGGGGATTGTCACAGGCCAGCGGATCAAGCCCCACCATAGAAGGATCATGAATACAGTACAACTGGTCATGATCCACAGGCCAGATTTGGCCTGTTAGCCACTACTTGAATAGCTCTGAAGTAAAGGATCCTATTGCATGCCTTAAGGTACATTTGACACATACTGTGAGCTCACAGATGTTATAAAGACATTGGCACTAGTTGAATATGTTGTTTGTATCAGGTCGATTATGTAAAAATAAAATCCTGTTTTTAAGGGGATTTGATCTTCTAACTACCAGGTTAATCAGCGGAAATGTTAGACACTGCCCTACCACGACACACAAAGCATGCATGGGGTGATCAGTAAAAAAGATCATGCTCTGCTAGCTACAGAGTCTGTTAAAGTTAACGTTGAGTACATTCGTTGATTTATCCCTTAGATTGTTTTAAAAAAAAATTATGAAACATATTCTTGATGATTATATGGTTACGTGTCAGTTAGTGCAAAATAAATTATGTCTATATGACTCATTTGTCTCACGTAAATACAGTTTGAATTTAAGTGAATATCATGGAAAGATATCAAACCCAACAAAAAGTAACTTCAGAAGCTTCAGAATATAACAAACACAAACAAAAAGTGATCCTTGCGGCTGCAGGGCCTTCATCAGCATATACATAAATCAAACAAAACCACACAAATACAAAAAACATCACTCAACACTTAACATTTAAGTGAGCACAACCTTGTGTGTGTTACCCATTTTGGGGGATTAATTGTGTTTGTTTCTTGGTTTACCAAAGCGTTTCCTACAGGTGTGGATGTACCGCGTGGTATGTAAACATCCCCAATGGCTATTTATTATATTGCCAGCCTGGCCTTGTTTATCTGAAGCTTGTCTGCAATATTACTATTTTTATGGATATAATTATATGTATTAGCATTGTAGTGTTGACCAAGTCCTGTGAGCTCCATGCCAGACAGCCTGGTGTTTGCCTGTGAGCTCCACCAGACAGCCTAGTGTTTGCTTGTAAGCTCCACCACAGACAGCCTGGTGTTTGCTTGTGAGCTCCACCTCAGACAGCCTAGTGTTTGCCTGTGAGCTCCACCACAGACAGTCTGGTGTTTGCTGTGAGCTCCACCACAGACAGCCTGGTGTTTGCCCGTGAGCTCCACCACAGACAGCCTGGTGTTTGCCTGTGAGCTCCACCACAGACAGCCTGGTGTTTGCCTGTGACCCCCACGACAGACAGACTGGTGTTTCTGAACCGTTTAAGACAGCGGTTCTCTACCTGTGGGTCGAATGACCCTTTACAGGGGTGCCTAAGACCATCGGAAAACACATATTGGATGAAGTTATGAAGTAGCAACGAAAAAATTGTATGGGGGGGGGGGGGGGGGGGGGGGGGGGGGGGGGGTCGCCACGACATAAGGAACTGTATTCAAGGGTCGCCACAACATAAGGAACTGTATTCAAGGGTCGCCACAACATAAGGAACTGTATTCAAGGGTCGCCACAACATAAGGAACTGTATTCAAGGGTCGCCACGACATAAGGAACTGTATTCAAGGGTCGCCACGACATAAGGAACTGTATTCAAGGGTCGCCACGACATAAGGAACTGTATTCAAGGGTCGCCACAACATAAGGAACTGTATTCAAGGGTCGCTGCATTAGGAATGTTGAGAACCACTGGTTTAAGAAATCATTGTTAAAGTAATATAATTTCCCCGTCACCTAGAAAGAGCACATATTTCCCCCAGCACTTTTATAAAGTAACTGAAGGA